CCAATCATTCCTTGTACTTCGCTGAGAAGGTGGTAGCTACTGATGATGTTGTCGTAGGGATTTTACTCGATCATTTGAAAGCAAAATCATACTCTTTGATTTCCGTTTGATTATGTGTCATTATAAACCATGTCAAATAGAACTCTAGATCCATAGGTGTCCCCTGAAGCTCTGGTTCCATCTTCTTTCACGTTTTAATTTTTACTGCTAACAATATTTGGATTGTCTGTCAAATTTTGCATTCATAAAAAAATGCAAGCTGACGCAAACCACTTTTCAAACGATTGTATATTGGAAGATATCCGTTTAAATTTTTTGGCAGAGTTCAACATTTTGATACGAAGCTAAACTTATATGATGTCAGCGCAAATTATTTCTAAAAGGACTGTAGTAGTTGTTAATCAAGTGTATATTGTATGGTGGTTTAAGGGTATATGAGGAAGAAGAATGTCTAATCTTGTTTCTTGTCTTTTCTAATTATATTCTTAATGTCCTGCAGGAAGACCTTCTCTTTCCACCAACTGAATAATTCAAAATTGTTATCGATATGTAGCGGATATTTGCAATTCACAGTACTTCAATTGTGACTTACATTGATGCCAGTGCAAACAAGGCCGCCACTCCTCCAACAGCAATATGCATGACCTTCTCGCGAAACGTTGTCCATCCTATTATTTCTTCAGACAACCTGGTAACGGCCCATCCTGAAGCAAACGCCAACAAGACGACTTTGCTGGGGAACCAATTTCGAATGGTGATCATTTGTGATAACAAAGACACATCTTGCCCACGCTTGTCCAAAAAGTATTTGCGAATGAAAATCCAGCTATATATAATACGAGATCCGAGATTTACAATGTTCGCCAAAATCAAACCGATGGCACCTAGGTGCATAAAGTGCATGAAGAGCACACCCGAAGACACAAAGATGAGCGAGAAGACGATCATGAACTTGCTTAGCCGAGCCAATTGCTGCTCTGTTGCCACTGCTTGAACAAAAGCTTCGCTTATTCCGTTGATACCCATGACAGGAACATATGCACAGTAGAAAGAAAGGACTAACGGTGCATTTGTATTTTGAGACCATGCAGAACCGACCAGCAGATCAATCAGTGTAGCTGTGTAGTTTGTCGCAAAACATATAAATATGAGGCCGAGGAGAATATGAAACTTGAAAATAGTAACAAGAATGCGAGCAGAGGTTTCAAGCACCCGGTTTTGCGACTTTGTCAATGGCTGATCACCAATATCGGACAAAAGCTTGGAAAACAGCGTTCTGGCTGTCTCCTCCAATGGACCAAAAAGAATGCGAACGATCAAAGAACCTTTGCAAAGACAATGGTGTTAACATTAATGATGGTTTTGGTCGTATCTTTCAAATGGCGTCATAATTTGCCACCTCATCTCTCTTACCATAGTTAACAACCAAAGCATACACTCCTTGATCCTTGTCAGAACTAAGAGCGGACACCAGCATTTTGTCGCCTTCTGTCAATACATGCTTCAAAAGTGACTGTTTCGTTAGAGTGACAGACAGGTCAAGCAGTTCTCTGTCAAACCAGAATGTTCTTGTGCTGTTGAAGAAAAGTTGAATACTCTTGAAACATCTTACATACATCTCGGTCTGTCTGTACTCACCTTCCGTCCTCGTTGACAGCTACCAGCTTTCGAGGTAAGATGGTCTTGCCATTGATCTGACCACTTCTGACTTTGTTGATAAAAAATCCAGCGTATCCAAACACCATTACAAGACTGTACGCAAACTGAGCCACGGCAAAAGCGAGTACACCATATCGGTTTGTGGCTGATCCATTGGATCCAAGAACAGTTAATCCGAAGGTAAGCACGCATCGTACGAGAACACAAATTCCTTCAACAGATACACGCAACTTGAAGTAGAGGTTGCTGAGAGCCATAATGTACAATGGCTCGATGATCAGCTCGCAGTATGCAGATAGGCCGAATAACACGATGGATGTGCGATAGAATGGATACTTTAAAGCGGTTTCGTCGTCAATACTAGAGAGGTAGTACACACACGCCGTCAATGTTGTCACTAGACCTATAATCATTGGCACATAGGCGAGGTTTGTTATTTTCTGCACCTGACCTTCTGCAGACGAGACCAAAACAGCATCCTTGGATACAGGTTTATCGGACTTGATTTCTTGGGTAGTTTGTGAGTTACCTCCACGTAACAAGGCGCAACGGAAACCTTCTCGGCTTAAAAACAAGATGGTTGAGAGTAGTAACTCTAACTTGACGGAGGCGATACCGAGAGTTTCTGCTGACGAGTAACGTACAACGATCTGATGCAGTGCAAAAGTCAGCATGCGAGAAGCAAGCTGTAGCAAGATTAGGTATGATGCCCCGGCTACAGACGATGACAAGACATTGTTAACATTCTTGCTGTCGTCTGCACCTGGTGATGGTTTTTCGGTAGTCATGCAATGAGTTGAAAAGGAACAGCGAACAAAGGGGACGAAAAATACGTCATGGCGCTCTTTACATACGAGATTTTTTATTTGTTCCAAATGCACGGGACGGAGGTTGGCCTCGCATCCCTTGCGCCGGTGTGCGCGCTATAAGCTAACTGATTGCTAAACACAAGCGCTATTACTATGAAAGGGATCACGATTGATCATGAGAAGTGTGCTCCAACTTAGCCTGCAGATCGAGCTTCTCCAACTACCAGGGTATCGTGGTGAGTAATTTTCAAAGTGCAAAGGTTTAGAAAAGTTCAAAAATCCTACCTCCAATGTCTCGTTTCTTTCCAAGAGGCTCTCCAACTTTTGCCGAAGCTTCTCGACTTCAGATTGTTGAGAGCTAACCGACTAAATAATATGTTAGTCACCGGTTTCTTTGCATCACACGCATAAAGCCACTCGGGTACTTGCCTCCTTTGACGATATCAGAGCCCTCTTTTCGTTGGATTGTTCTATTTTGGTTAAAGTTGCCTCCATTTCGTTGTATTTGAGTTGCATTTTACTAATATGAAAAGAAGTGTTAACGCACATTCTGTTACAAGATTGTTAGTAGATAGAGCACCACGGTATATGTACCTCAATGTAGCCTTGGCGGCGTGTTCACTCTCCCGGTAGCTTTCGAGAATATTCTCAGTAGCCCGCCATCGCGAAAGTAGACTTTCGATGTATTGCTTTTGCGTTTTTATCGTCCCGGTATCTTGTTCCCACAGCGCTAATTGCTTCGTCAATTGATCTATTTCGGTCTCGTACTCTTGAACAGTCACTAGAGTGGGCCTTAAGAACTCCAGTTCGCTCTCGAGATCAAATACTCTGATAATAGCACATCAGCAAACAAATCAGGTGCCGTTAAGTTATGATAACAAATAAATACCTCTTCCGAGCTTGTTCCAATTGGCCATCTTGAACTTTAAGAATAGTTTCAAACTCTGCAACTTGCTCTCTTGCTTTGGCCATTTCCATTTGCCATTGCTTTCTCTGTTCTCGGTAGTCCCGTAACTTCTTGGACTGCTCTTCTTCCCATTCAATATGCCTTACTTTGGTGGTTGCATTTTCAGCCTTCAGTTTATCTAATGCTGTGGTAGTGCGCTGAAGTTGCTGTTGCAACATTCTTGTAGCATTGTACTGAAATTTGTGATTAATGGCCATTATCAGTAGTCTACCATAGAGCTTTATATCTTACCATTTGTTGCCTTTCAGCTTCAACAGAGATATCCATCACGTGTTCTCGATGTAACCTGCCAATATGTTGTAGATGTTGTTGCTTCAAGAACATCTCAAAGTTCAACTCGTTGCGCAGTAACAGCACCTCTCTCTTCAGAGCTGCAATGAGAAGTTTTTGTTCCGAGGAAGATGTGCCATCTTCCGCTGCCATCATATAGTTTGGTGCTGGTGTAGGTGCCCCTTCCGATACCGTCATATCGTCTGGATTTGGCGATCCTTCTGCTGAAGATGGCCAGTGTTCAAGGCCAGATTCCTTAAAATTAAAAAGATCATCAGGTTACTGGTCATATCCAGGCAGAGAAGTCGTATAAAATGTACAGTAATAATGAAGTTCAATCTTACCCAGACGTCATCCCCTACAACTACTTCTGCACCGCTCTTTAAAGCCTTGTGAACATTGAGCACATTAGCAATCGAAACTGCCTTCATTTTCTTCTTATTGCTCGGGGTAGGTGTATTTATCGGTTGATCTTCCACGTTGTCCTGGTGAGGACTAGTCGTCAAAGGTTCGCTTTTCACAGCTTTGGATTCACTGGCCTCGGCGCGCACTTTTTCTTCAAACAACCAGGATGATATATGAGCATTTGAAGAGTTTTCTTCGCTAAAGGCAACTCGAGATGCTGCATTAGTAAGATCTAAGCTCATAATCTGGGCCATGACATCCGGCGGTTCAAGCTTCATCCATCTCGAGTGGTCGACAAGCTCGGTTGAAGCGTCCATGACAACAAGGTTCGGGTGAAGCATATGTCTATTAACTTGGGGCTGGTACATAAAGAAAATTAGCATTTTAACAGGATAGCAATTTGCTTGAAATAAGATCAATCGACTTACTATAATTCGGGATCGAAAGGTATCTTCGTCAAACTGCTCTGGTAAATTGAATTCATTTCTTCCAAAATACCCATACGGAGCATGAAGGAATGAGGTGAAGTTGCATGGATACAGGCCATATAGAGAGGTGAAAAATGCACCGGTTCTCGGATTTGACGGAGGTGCAGCCAGTTTCGAGAAGGTATAATCTATACCCGATGTTAGTGTATGCCATACTAGCTCAGCGAATCATTCTTTCAGCCTTACCAAGTACATCCCAACCATCAATCTGTATATTCTTCGATGATGCTTCCCGTGATGCTAAGCTAGTATCCTGTGTACTACCACTATTTTGTCTAAAGTCACGCAGCTGATCCCAGCAAACGGCACGTGCGAAAATGTAGAAGAGCTTTGGTAAAAAAGGCGAAAGGTAGGCGCATATCCGAGGCAGAAGCATAATGAGGTTGGTGACAGAAATGGCAATAAGGGTTGTGGAATTATCATACTGAATGATGGTTTGAAAGTATTAGTATCATTTGGGGTTCAATAACTTGTTGCATGTACTGGTTCAATTACCATCAAGGACTTCAACATGGAGTCAAACAATGGTGTTTGCAATATGTCATGAATATGTGTCCTCTGAATGAAGTATCGCAGTTAGAAAACATAACTCCCAAGTGTGAGCTGAAAAACCTAAGAGGTGACATACCTTGCGAGGAATAAAGGCGCTGATGAGGTAAATGATTTGAAGGCGATACTGACTTTGTACAAAGTAATCTTCAACGAGCAGAAAGAAACTCTGGAAATGGGGGAAATAATAAGCAACCTTTTTGTTCCATTGACAGACTACTCATGTCGTGATGGTTACCTTTGTCCTAGCCGTTCCAAATGCAACCATGATGGCTGACAGGTTTTTTGACCACTCGTCCTGCTCCTGATCAAGTAAGGTTTGATGCTGTGATTTCATTCTGCTGGTATCATCAACTTCACTTGGCATGTCGAGAGCATCAAGTGCTTCCATTTTATCTTGTTGCTGTCTGTTTGACCATTGAAGATAGTCTTTAATGACCAGGTTGAGAAATGTATTATTTTTGATGGACTCAGAGTTTTGGTCTTCTAATATTAAAGCATCAGCGGCAATTTTGATAGATTCTTCTTTAGATGATTTGGAATAATGCGAGTTCTGAAGAACAGGCTTGAGTGCGTTGGGCCACCAATCGTTGAGTATGCGGTTGACTCCAAAGACCGGGAGTAGCTGATGGACTATTCGAAGCAAGACGTAATGTTTCGTCTGAACTTTCGTTGTGACGGGCTGTATGGACACAATGGTCACTGTTGGATCAGCTAGTATTTCTGTCTTGAGTATATGTAGTAATTCGGCTGATAGCTTGTCAATGGCTCCAGGATCGCCGAAGGACGGAGTGGTAGTTGACTGCGACCGCTGTTGATCCAAATAGAGATCTATGAGATCCAGCACTTCCTGTGCATCGTTTTGTGGTGTGCTTCGAAGAGCAGAGGCTATAGCCTGCCCAATCTCCTTCAACGACACCATGTATTAGTCGTACGACTGATATCAGATAGAGGAAACGGCGCGATAGAAAGCGTTCGGTAGCGCAGGTTGGGACGGGGAAGGAGTGACGTGCAATTTGCCACAATCAAACTGGCTGGAAAGGCAGCCTGTTTAATTTTTTTGTCTCGTCTCCTCACACTATTTCCTCATGGAAGCTGAAGCTGAAAAGCGAAAACAAAGACTGCAAGCTCTGCGTAAGCGAAAGCTTCAATCAGAAGCCAACGATCAAACCAACGGAGAAAAGTAAGGATCATTGCACCCGTCTCGTTTGTTCACGCTGCGAAACTAATCAACCTTCGCCCATCTTGTTAGACCCGAGCTTTCCTTTAGAAATTACACACCAACAGATGAGGAATTACAAAAGAACACGAGCATAGCAACACCTGACGATATCCAAAATACTGTTGAACAAGAAACAAGAAATATCACCAAGGAGGCATTGGAAGAAGCTGAACGCATGCATAAAGAAGAAATTGTACGTGGAGCTTTCTATCGACTGTGAATTTGGCGCAAAACCCACTTACTGACGTTTGCATGCATCAATAGGATCTTTTCAGCTTGGCACCGAAGCGTGCTAATTGGGACTTAAAGCGGGACGTCGAAAAAAAGTTGGAAAGTTTAGATAAACGAACACAACGAGCTATTGCTGAGATTATTCGTAAGTACTTGTGAATATTTCTTCCATGAGGACATGTCTGTGTGCATACAAATACAGCCATGGGATTTGCGCGAGATCGGAGTCGTGCTTTGTATACTAACATGATGACTATTTGATTTAGGCGAGCGCCTTAAGTCTGATACAAAGACTGGAACAGGCATCGCTGACGCTGTTGCTGACGCTGAAGCAGCACAAAAGATGGACGAAGCAGATGAAGATGAAGATTAATCGACCGTCGCCATGAATACTACAGCGCCGTTAACTTTTCATGTACATAGACTGACGAAGAATAAAAAGAAATTGAATTTCAGATACGCAGCTTGAACGCTAATGTTATTTATATGATTGTGTTCTATACAGGCCAAATGAACGGAATGGTATACATTTCAAAGAATAAGTTTCAACAGATATAAAATGGATATTGCAATCTCAGGCAATCCTATGGTATTTAGTAAATGACACTAGATAGGATGGTTTAGTGTGAGAATATAGATTATACAGGGCATATACAAGATGAAGTCTTACCGAGCAAATCCTGGACGTTGAATTTTGGATTCTGGCATTGGGTTTTTCACGTTATCTGGAATCACCATGGTCTTGAGAGTACCTTTGATCTACATCATTTGTCTAAATGTTAGTACAACCACTTTATTGTATTATCCAGGATCATGGAACACCATATTACCTCTTTAACCGTTATACCACGATATTCCAGCTCCCTCATGCCGTTTTCATCCTCGTCCTCAGTCACCTTATTTTCTTTGGTTGGGATATTGTTACCCGACCTGCGGGAGAACAATGTGAAGCGGGATGGAGTGGTGGCCCCTGAGGAATCTAGTGAAGCTCCTGATGACGCAGATGTAGGGGTGCTGACACTTTCAGTTAAGGCAGGAGAAGAAGATTCAGGTTTTTTAGCGCTAAAACTGAATAGTCTTGATGTTCTAACGCTTATGCCAGGTGAAGGTCTGGGATCTGCTGGTGGACTGGTAGATGGCACAATGGATGCAGATCCTAGAGATAAACTTGAGAGGCTTTTGCCGGGATTTGTGGACATTTGGACAGCAGCCGCAAGCACCGCTGTCATGCTTTCTACCGTGACATCTTGCGATGTTTCCGCTGGTGCTTCGGGTAAAGACTTGTTAAAGTCATACTGAGCATGTCCGTTTGGACTCGCTTGTAGATCAACCACCTCAAACGTCTCCTGTGAGAGATTGGGCCGGCTAGATGCAACATCAGATGACATGCGAATGGATGCCATCCCCGATCCAAACGAAGACTGCGAATTTTCGCGTTGCATCATACGTCCTGGTGTGCCATTCAGAGTACCACTGGAATGGTTAGCCATGGTAAAGTAATCCTCTCCACGGGCGAACGATTGAGGTGTAGATGGAGATGAAAGCGATGGTTCGGTAGCCCTGCGCACGATGGACGCCTTTCCGGAATCCAGGGACGAGGTGATGACCGGGTCGTTCACAGTCGACTTTGAACGAAACATTGGCAGCCAAGAGAAGATACAATAGCTTAAGATGGATTGGGATTCATTTTTATATATTATTAGTTCTTGTACGATGGTACAAAATGGCTGTGTAACGTCTGAGCAGCTACTGGATATAGTCGTACGCGCTTGGACAATCGATATTGATTTCACTGGCATCTACGGGTCGATGCTTTTCTGTCGAGAACATATTCTAAAAAAATTAAGAAATCAGTCAAATTGCCAAGCAATTTGGTCATAGAATTTGATAAACACTTACATTCCATAAAGCTATGGCCATTATTTGATTTGCACAGAGATTGGGATGGAAGCTATAAGCACCAAAAAAATAAGTTTCAGGTCTTCTCCGCATGTTCCCAGATGGTGGGACAAGGCACTCACCAGTCCATTCCACTGAAATACGCTTGTTTGTACTTTGCAACATCAAACGCCGTCAATGCTGGCTGCACCACTACCGTAAAGTCATCATATATCTGAAATTCATCGGCTACTTTATACATACGAAGATTATATTCTTTCACCATATCATCGGCCGCTATCAAAGAAGAGAAGATTAGAGGAGTGGCGTTCCAGTGGCTTCACACATTTCGCAAATAGTAAGATACCTCTTCGATCTTCATCCGTACCCTGAGCACATGGGCAGATATACATATTTGACTTGTCCATCAAGAACTCGCAATATTGCTCACCCCGCGCGGCGTCATACACTACCGAAACCTGACAAGCAAGTGGTCGTCAGATGACAACCAATGTCAAAAATTATTCATGCAACAACAATTCTTACTTACGCTAAACATAGCCATTAAGTTGACAAAAGTATGCCCAATTTCGGTTCTCAATCGTTCCAAGGCCAGCCTTAAATGATGTTCGAAAGCGTCTGCAGTTGCTTGGTCTGGTAAGCCCGTCGATGGCGCTGCGCATAATCCACACAAATTGTTGGCACCAATTAATACTGTGATCAATTTCCAGTCATCCCGTATATCTGCGTATTCTTTATGTGACAATTGATGTACCAGTCGAGTCACTTCTTCGTCCAACGTTTGAACCACGCCGCCACTTATCTTTCAATGCAAATGCGAGTAAATTTTGGGATTCATGCATTATACCAGGGATCCAGGAGTTGTTTTTCAATAACTTACTGCACCATTCAGTCCTTTTCCTCTCGCCAGTGGCATAGTAATGCCAGCTGGTCCACCTTTAGTATCCGTATAACTCGAGAGAAAATTTGCAATGGTGTACTCATCGGGGTCGGATCCAGAGCTAAAAACTTTTCCACGGTACTCCCAAACCGTCCCAAAAGGTGGCCTCGCTGATGGCATTGTCAGTTTCAATCATACACTCGGCAAGAAGTCAAGGAGGCATGCTAAGCACTTTACCTGTCTGCATACCGAAGCCAGCCGATATACTATCTCCGATAGATATGACAGCTTTGATATCCTGTTTCGCCAATCAGCTTTCCATTATCATGATCAAAATTTGGGAGGTGCAAATGATATTGTCTCACCTGAGGGCGCAAATGTCGAACATCTCTCTTTGCTATACCATCCTCCCAGTAAAATGATGTGCAGTTGAACTTTGGTACATCGAATAAGCATGCGTCTGACTTTGTAGAGTTGGATGAGTGTGGAAAAACGTTGTAGAGTTGCTCTAAAGCATGGACCCACTCAGTTGTATAGGGAATGAGGACAGATGTCGTTGTTATTGGGGTTTGCTTCAAGGGAAGAAAGGGCAATAGTGCTGCCAAGTATGAAAAAACCATAAGAAGAAGGAAAAAGAGATTCGAAATTGAATGAATGTCCCCGCGGACAAGTTGACAATGCTCAAAAGGTCACATGGCCCGGAATTTTTTTTATTTTTTGGGTTCTCATCTATGATCGCTTCTTTGCTTTTTGCGCAGCTCTGATTTTATCCTTTACAGTCAATTCCTTCTTGATTTCCGGAGACTTTGGAGTTTTGCTGGAAGTGATTCCAGTGAATTTACCATACTTACGGAGGACTTTTTCCTCAATGGATTCCAGCTCCCAGTCATGTGAGGTGATCATCAAGTTCTCTTTCTCCGCCATGAAAATCTTGTTGAAGTCTTGTGGTTGTCCAGGTGCTGCCATGCTTGCCATACCTGCCATACCTCCTCCCATAGCAGCCATATCATTCATGCCAGCCCCAGCAGCTAATGTAATTGTGAGGTCAATAAATTGGCTCATTATAATGATGCAAACCCAAAATATACAGAATATTACCGTTATTGTCTCCCAAAATCAATGTGAAAACACTGCTAAGACCAAACAAGTTGAGGAAATACCAGGAAAGTGAAGAAACCCAGGTAACATCCATGTCCCGGGTATCAACTCCACTTTGAAGCATTGACTTGAATCGCAAGGTCAAAGGGAAAGGCAGCTTAACTGGAAGGGTATCAGCCATGTTCACCACCAGTGATGCATTTCAAAATGCGGTATACTTACTGACGACGAAGCCTTGGAAGAAGAAATTGATCCATCCCATAATAAGCATCTGGGGAACCATGTTGGTTACTTGCTTTTTCATGCCTTCCATCATGCCTTCCATCATATCTGGATCTGTCATTGGATTTGGCGCAGGGACACCTTCCTTTGGCGCATTTGGATTTTTGAGATATTTGCCTTGGTCGTATGCCTCCGTAAGGAATGCTTTGCGACTTGCAAAAGCGTGTGGTGGAATAGCATTTCGGAAAGCTCGGAGTTGTGATCCTCTCATCAACGCTTTGCTGTAATGCTTGCATTAGTGCTGCTGAATCGCTGCATATTTTTATGCAATGTGCCAACTCTACCTTTCTCTGACAGCTTTCAACTGTGGCTTCTTGGGAGTTCCAGTAATAAGTACAGTTATATGATGTCTAAGGACACCAACGAGTAACATCACCACCATAATGGGTAATAAGACCCAGTCTCTAATGGCTACAACGCGAGCAAGTCAGCATTACTACACATTGGCCCTAAATCCATGATGCTCACGTTTTATAACACAATACCTGGATCCAATATCATTTGCTTACTATGAATAGTTAATTGTGTTAGCTCAGTTTCTGATGGCAGCTCTACCAGGGATTACTTACGCTTCACCCAGAGTGGCCATGGTGAGATGAAGAGATGTACAAAAGTGACGTGCAAAGACTCCGCTTGGCATTTTACAGCTTTTTATTAGACATGGATGATCCCAACGCAGACACCGAGTGGTAAGTAATCTGTTTTTCTTACTTGATTTACATGGCTATGTATTCTTAATTACGTTGGTGTTAGGAACGACATTTTGCGCGCACGCGGCATTCTCCCTCCTAAAGATGAAAAGACCGAAGAGGAAATCAACGATCTGATCGATGAAGTAATTGCAGAGCGTGTTGCTAAGAACAACAGCCTAGATGACAAAACCCTGGACGAACTTGACGAGCTAGAGGACGAGCAGGATGACAGAATCCTTCTAGAGTATAGGTATGTGAGTTCGTTAAGGCCATCTGATGTTTGTGGACGGCCGTACCTTACTTACTAACGTGCTATCCTGACAGAATGAAGCGTATGAAGGAAATGCAACAAATAGCCAGCAAAGAAAAGTATGGAGAGGTGAGGCAAATATCGAAACCTGATTTTGTCAAAGAGGTCACCGAGGCAAGCAAAGAGTGTTCTGTAATTGTCCACCTGTACAATGACTCCATTCCCGCTTGCAAGTTGATGAGTAGGCATTTGTCAGAATTGGCTCAACGATATAAGGCTGTCAAGTTCTTGAAAATAGTGGCAGATCAGTGTATTCCAAACTATCCCGACCGCAATGTCCCTACATTACTCGTGTACGTCAATGGCGATATCAGGGCTAATATGATCGGTGCCATTTTGTTTGGAGGAATGAAAATGACCGTCGAAAGTAAGTGGCTCTTGCGCCAAATTGTATGTTCGGCAGGACCTTTTTATTGATAGTTTGGCAACAGGTCTTCGTAAGCAATTGGTTCAAACAGGCGCGCTTCCTGTCGAACCAGGTGACAAGGACGAAGAGCAAGAAAGCTCTCGTAGTAAAAAGTCTCTCTACAGCTCAAGTGCAACAGCTGCCTTGAGTGACGATGAAGATGATGAATACGACGATAGAGGTTACACAAATATTTAAATCGATATAATGCCGGAGGATTGTATTGAAAAGACCTCTGACCTTTCCTGTCATGATCAGCATAGATAGACAAACGAATATTGTAGACATCCAACGGATGATCAGAGACAAAGCTGGCCTCACATGTACATGAACGAATAAAATTTTATTTTACTCCTCTAGAAAGTTTTGATAGTGGTCTTCGATTTGATGTAAAGCCATAGAAATGAACCGGGAAATATACAAGGCAGCTATCTCAAAGATGTTCGTCCCCTTACTAACTACGTTAGTATGATGAAATCCACACAAAGATAGCAGCTGTTCAAAGTTGTTCTTGCCATATCTTCCTTTGAAGGTATAACAACAGCCCCTGGTTATCAATCGAACATAGAGCCTCTAGCTCATATTTAACATTTTGATGCAAAATGTAGGAAAGTTCACGGCTGTATCAAATTTTGTAGACAGTTAGCTGCGTGATACTAAAGTAAATTATAGGTAAAAAATAAATAAATTCAACTGTACATCAGAAACTGAGCACGATAATAACTTTGATTGAATGGCGGTATATTGCTTGCATTTTCATTTGCTATAAGTCGTAAGTACGAGACAGTAGACATTGCTTTTTTCCTGTCAGCTTCGTTTAAATGTATCTTGCATCCATGGGAAATTGGAAAGCTGGCGACATTCATTAATCAATGTCTTACTTTTCAGATGATGCAGATTCGTTGCATACCTTTTCAAGTCCTGAGAGTGTATTCCTAGCCATTGTATATCTGGGCAGGTCAATATTTCATTGTGGTGATACTTTGACTGGAAAAAATGAGACTTTGCTGAGCGACGCCATTTTCGGTAATCACTTACCCGTCCACCCCACTTGTATACGACATGAATGTCGATTCCATGCGGATCTCCGTCTATTAGGCTCCAAATTTTAATTGTATGACTAGCGATATCTGACATGGCGCAACATCTATTTGCGGTGGATATCATATTCAAGAGGTATCTTGTTGCAACATCCTGGTAGCACTGACTTGTTTAGCTTAGCATTCAGTTCCGAAGTCTCCTATTAAACTCACCGGATACCCCTTTCCCTAAGCGCAAGAAACCAAAAAAATTTCAGTATGATACTCAAATGTATCGTATGTTCTGATATCTGCTCACTGTTATAAGCACACAGTTCCAAAAAAGATTGCTGAAGTTGTTTGTCAGAAGCCACCGAAATATAGTCTGTTCCGTTTATTGTTATTAAACACATCAAATTATTCTGACCGTTATATTTGATTTTCTTCTCACCTCTTTTTCAACCACCAATACATTAGTGGCTTTGCATTGTATGCGCTGTATACTTCCCTCAAATGGAATGGGGACACCGAGATTCTGCGAATAGTTCATTAATAATACGCTACGTCTTACTTTTCTAGTTGAGTCGACTTGCCATTGTTTTGTCATTTGTTGTTTGTACATTGAAGACTGATGTATATTCACAGCGTAAGACGCTGCCATTTTTTAAAATTATCGATATGGGCCCCGAAATCAGTCCTTTACAGGAGGCAGTCTAAAATATTCTGTAGTTTAGCATAAACTTCTTTGTAAAAGTGACTTATATGCTGCTTATGATTCCTTACTATGTTTAAATTATGTCTAGGAACACTGTATTTATAGCATATGTTCTCAATAACCTTCCAGAAGCCAAAATTTTAATTCAACGTGATTAAAACTTTAACGAACAAAGCGCGACACCATACCTCGTCCACGGCCTGCTGAGAACCGAAGAGCTCAACGTCTTGATAATATATGTGTCGCTTTGTAATTATGACATCTTGAATTAGAGCATTATATATAATCTCCAGAATACGGAGGTAGCGAGCTGCAAAGTAAATAAGTATCAGGTCAAATCTAGCTTGTATGCTATCTGAGGAAATCTTTACCGAACGATTTGAAATGGCCATCCGATACCAGCCGTCGAGTATGGCTAACGCTATCAAGTCAGAGCTAGCATTAAATATAGTTAAGCACGACTTGTTATCCAGCATTGGTAATTGTTCCTACTTGAGGCTGAACCGACTGCAAAGCCCATGTTCTCCAACGAAAAGCCTTCGATGATATACTGACTCTAGAATTTCGAGTATGGTTCGTTCGATCTTGTCAACGAGGTAATCTCTGTAATTACTGAATGTGAGTGACAAGAACAATAACTTAAAAGATTCGTCGAGGTTATATTTATTTACCTCACGCTTATTTCTTCGTGAGTAACAACTGCGTGAATTGTTTGGAAATCTAAAGCGAAAGAGTTTAAGGGACACAATTGAGTGCCGAGTCGCAGGGGATAACAGCCATTGGCTGTACAATCGATTGAAGCGATATAATATCTAACCTTCACTTGAAAATCTGTTAACAGGGTTTTTGGCGTTCGAAGTTGAAGCATTCATGATAAATGTGATGGAGAGACAATATCGATTGCTCAAAAATTTTATGTTTGTGGAACTCGTGGCACAATCCAGCACATGCTCATCTGAAGGCCATAGCACAGCTACTATTGGGCTTTGAAAAGAAGTAATTTATGTATCAATTTCACATTAAAACATAGAAGGACTTTAAGTAAACGATATATTGGAACTTACTAGCATAATCTTTTGTGATAGTCAGCTGTAGGCTACGAGGACTTGGAGTTGACAGCTTTTAACCGCGCGGACTTTGAAGGCATTGGGCAGTCACCAAAGTTGAGTGCTTGGAGATTTGCGAGATCTCCATCAAGCATTGCCTCAGTTACCTAACGCAACTGCTGTTCATGAGCTCACGTCGAGGTGCAGTCAGCAACCAATATGAGCATAGGTCTGGCGGACAATCGATCCCAAAATCCTGGAGTCAGCCGAGAAGCAGCGGCAGGAACCAACCACCAGGAATTAGACAACCGCAGCATCGACCAGAACCTTTGTCAGGTAATATAGAAACGTCAACTTTGGCGACAAGCGCCATGCAATATCCAGTATATTCATTAAAATAAAATACAGAAAATGACGCTGCAGAACCATTACCGTCTGGTAATATGCCACAAACAAGGCTAGGACGCGCTCAGGTCATCGTAGCCAACATATTTCAGGACACTGATGATTCCACCTATGTACGACGAAATGCGGATATTGTTGAGTTGGCTTCTATTGTAACAGAAAAAGCGCCTATGAAAGGTGATACTGCTATGTGGATAAGTGAAAATTTACAGTTGATGGACCTTTTGTTTCACGGCGATTCGACATATCCGGGACTTGATTCTGTGTTTGATGATCCTAAAGCACCTGCAAACTTCAAAGCATCTACTATTAGGTTACTAGCTGTTCTTGCAGAACATGTTAGACCAGACCTATTTGCTGAGTGGATCTTTCAACGAATACTGTTTTCAACATCTAGTACGCTGCCTGAGAAAGAACGAGAGCGTTATAAAGAACGGTCAACCTGTCTGTTAGATACGCTTCGTTTGGTGAGTAGTGGATACAAAATGAAAACTGGTTAGAATGAATAACTGAAGATTGTTGATATCTAGGTTGTTGAAAACTCAACAAATAATGCTATGCTACATCGACAGTTGGCGACTCTTATACCGTATATTCTAAGTAATCTCATGACCGTATTGGATACCATTTCTTCGTCGGAACAGATTCCTTCGATATTGAAAATACTACTGGCGATAGCAGTTGGGCATCCTCAGTTGGTCGATACTAGTTTCCAGGTAGGCCGGATACTGCTAGAAAAGTAGGAAGATTGAGCATGAATGCTAAGAATCGTGACCTTGCATGCAGGATATTGTTGATCTTCTTATGGGGTGGCATACGGATCCAAATGTGTCTATCATGGTACATACAGCGATTGAAGGTACCTGTTTTCGATATTAGTCAAATCAATGTCCTTTGTTACTGATATGCAGCATCAAAGAATTTTATCTCAAAATGAGGAATTTTTGGTCTACTAGGATGCCTTTTGCTTTCGACCTGCTTCATCATCTCATCATAGACATACAGACGTCCAATGATAGCTTGAAGAGCTCCAGTGTTTCACAGAAGGATAAGCAAGAGACTACAAAGGCCATGAAAGCGTATTTTGCGTAAGTGATCATGATTTGTGCGCGTTGGAGGCCTTATTAGGTATATTTACGTATTTGACATTGTGTAGTTGCTTTCATTCCATCGTACGAGCCATATCTACATATATCACTGATCTGGAAGATCCCGTCTCTTTAGCAGTTGGAGCTCAATTCGATGAAATACGAACGAATATGATGGAATGTATTTGGCAGGTGATCGACGCGTCTACACCTCCTGATATTGGAAAGAAATGTAAGCTATATATTTGAGTTTAGTGATTGATTGAATTTCTAGCTGTACTTATAGTACGTCCAATAAGCTATCATGACCATGATCGAGCTCGCTGAGATTAGGAAGAGTACATATCAGCCTTTGCAATGGACGATGTATACCATAATTATCAAGCAGAAAAGCAGTTTCGAATCGTATGAGCTGCTAAAGATATTCGGTCGCGCAGCCAAAGCTTGGATTCCAAATATTGATTTAAACATATTAGAAGCTATGCTAGATGCTCAGCATTCGCCGATCATCCAACTGTACTTTCAAGAGGGACGCGCCAACATCAAATCTGCAGCGAGATCGTTCTTGCAAATTTTATTGGCTCACTGTCATGACAGAGCTATGCAGGAGAAGGTGGTGCACGGTTATTTCGAGGAGGTTGAAACGTGCGCATCGCAACTGAAAGAGTACCTCTGCCCTGCATCGAATTCGAATGTACATGTGCCACCAGATGACTCGAACAATGGAGAAGACGACATAAAACGCATTCTGTCCAAGAGCTTTGATACTGCAAAAGTCAGCAATACCAGAACAACATTGACTTTCTTTGCATACATTCTACTAGCGGTCTCCATCAGCTGGCCGCAATACCATCAAGCCTGTATTAACAGAGTGGTTTCTGGTATAGAATCAGGCTGGGAATGCGCTTGTGAGAATATTGCATGCGAACTACTCGCTGTCACGCGAGAATTTTATGCAAGGTATGCTCTATACCTTTAGGACCACGAAGTTTAATCATGATTTTACTTAATGACGTCGTTTGTATTCATCAGTCAAGGTTATTTCGCTCATCCACTGCAAAGCGACAAATTTCAAGCAATGTGCAGTTTACTGGCCAAGTCAGTCGGCCGTTGGGTTCTTCTTAGTGACAAATCCAAGCGATTGATTATCAGTTGGGTTCGGGATGTAACCGTGGCAACAGAAGCTTCTCAACATGCACACAGCAGCATAGATGATGTTATTATTGATTTGTTTGCTGCTCAAGGTAAGGAAAGCGTAAATTTAACATGTACAATATGCAATCATAATAATTCGTCATGGCCATTGTTTTACAGAATCGGAAGACAATGTCGTTACTCTTAAATTGGTCCTTGGTATTCTGCAGGGTGTCGAGAGGCTTCAGCTGTCTGCAAAAGTCATGGGTAGCCTTTATCCTACGTTAGAGCGCAGGTAAATGTCCATCATTGCTGTGTCAAGTTTCCTCATGTTTGTAATTGACGATTTCATGGATTGATAGCCTACGCGACCCCGATGAGAAAATCTCATCTTTGGCTTCTTCTATTCTCGTAAACATTACGCCATGGTTGGCAGTTTCAAAGATTGTGAGGCAGAGATGTTATGAACAAAAGATTCAGAAGAAGATAATGGCATCTCCACACACCGGTAATTTCCGACCAGCACACTTTGAACAGGTCATGAAATTCTTGAGCATGGAAGAGTATCTGCCAAAAGTGGATCAAAGCATCACAAACAGTCTTATAGATGACTGGTGCCAGCGCCTTTTCCATCATTGCGAAACGACCGCTAGCATCCAGGAAACCATCAAGGTCGCACACTTTCCTAATGATGATATCTCTTCTCTTGACAAGAACACAGATATGTTGCTTTATTGGGTCATTTGGGAAGCGACTAGGTACTGTATGCTTTCCAGGATGCGAACTCCTTGCGGTGGCCCTCAACAGGTATGTAACGGAAAGCGTGGATCATGTGGAGAAATTACTAATCACTGGACTTTGGTTATTAGACATTTTCAGCATTGGAACGCACGCTGGATAAGCTTTTAACGAAAGTGAATTCTCAACATAATGGACAGTATGTATTTTGATTCAATGCTTCTAACTCTTAGTCTCTCCGGGAGTTAGCTGGCTCACACATTCGTTACAGTAATTTGGTACCACTGAAATACCTTGTGTTACTTATAGACAGATTGGAGCTTCAAATCTTCAATGCATCTAGCGGAAATGCAACGGGTGCAATGCCTTCAGCGCCAAGGTCAAGCATCATTTTCTTCCGTGCAAACAAGAAAACTTGTCGAGACTGGTTCGCGCATATTCGAGGCAAAGTGATCGCAGCTGCAGCTGTTTTATGCGACAATCATATGATCATTCGTCAAGCTTGGGTGTCTCTGTCTGAAAAGGAACATCACCTTAATTCATGCAGCAGTACAGAATCAACAGACTTAATCGCGGATATGGATCGAACCGTAGCCATTCTAGGTAAGAGACCAAAGAAAATGCCTTCACCAGATGGAAATCATATTTACCAAATCGTACTGCTTCAGTTGAGGCATTGATTCGCATTAAGGCGGTGGAAGTGTTGAATGGTCTGCAAAAATGGTACCACTCCACCGCCGAGCTTGCAACCAAAAAGCAAGCTGGAAACATCCCTGATCGCAATACAGGGAGTTTGCTCTTTGCACCCGAACAAGCGAAGAAATGGTTTTCGATTGCAATTATGTATGCGCGTGGCCATTATGAACTAGCCATCAAGGAATACAAAATGTTCCGCACATCTCTGAGCGATGGCAACTTTATTCCTGAATGGTCTACAACATTAGACAATCCAGCTGTCGACTATTTGACAAGCGTCGAAGACTATCAAACGTTGAAGGAGTTGCTGCTATGCGGAAAGAAGACGGTTGATGTATTTGGAATTGACATGTTGAATGATATGCTAAGGACGTACGTTCAGGACACCAATAGTAAAACGACGCTTGGTAGCCAACTATCGCCGTCTAGCTTTGAAATATGGATCGAACATATGAACGTACAGCAATGCATGTATTTTGCTCGACTAAAGTATTTTCGAAATCATATCATTTCGCTCAGTACAAGATTATCGAAGCCGACATCATCGGAACGAAAGCGGATCATCCACTCACTACTAAGTGACAAGCTGGCGATGGCTGTACAAGCAAATAATTACTTGAAGTGGAATGCGCAGAGTGAAATGTCGCTAATAGCACTGGATGCATCTGGTCAAGCAAAAGCATTATCTGGCTGGATTTCCAGTTACAACCACCGATTTAAGAAAAGCGATCTTGAGCAAGTACACAAGGATCCAACTCATTGGGCGCGTTTAGGGCACTATCTACGTACAATGGACCCATCACATGAACAGAGTCTTATAAACATTTCGGCCTGGATCAAAGCTTCGGTGATCACAGCTCGTGTTTGCAGATGGAACAAAAATGTAGTCGAAGCTAATTCCATCATTGCCGCTATATTGGCGCAACATCCAAGTTGTCCAGAAGCCCTTTTCGAGAGAGCCAAGTTGTTAGAGTCGTCGCAAGAGTATACCAAAGCGGCCGCTATATACGGACAGTTGGTACACGAATCCACCTCGTCTGATCCTGAGCTCACCAAGGATATGAGAGCAAGAGCCGCTGTTGGTATGACCAAGCTCTGCAAACGCAGACACTGGCAAACCGCATGTTCCCTGCTACAGGAATTTAATGCTGATATCATTTGTGGTAACGAAACAGATTATAGTCATGCCATAACCACTCTCTATGAATCAGCGTGTCAGTTCGCTCCAGAGTGGCCCAAGGCGTGGTTTCTGTACGGCTCACATTGCTACAGATATGGTTGGCAAATACTCGAAGATATCAAAAGTGGTCGTGGCGCCATTCAGGTCACTCAAGAAACCGTGGAAGATGTACAAACCATCGTTAAGGAAGGAATGGAGAGCAAACATTCATCCAAAGATGTTACAATGGTTTGTAGTGTATTTTGTATACATGATCTCACTGAAATGATGTCTAATAATCAATTTGATTGGCACAGCTCTGCAATATCTTCACACATGCATCCCAAAGCTGGAACTTGGAAGATAATAGTAAATCTGGAGATTTTGAAGATGATATTCGAGCAGCGTACCCCACTGTTTCCGACTTAACGATCAATGCACTAGTACAGAGCTTTGCTAAAGTACAGTCTGCTATAGTTGTCTCGTTCAGTCGTGCTACCACAGCCTATCGCCAATACCTGAAGGTGGAGCAATATGAACATGTGGTAGGTGTCTTGATTACACAATGTAATCAGTACCAATATATACTAACGCATTCTGCAAACTCAGGAAACCAATAGTGCGCCATCTATGAACATAACATGTACTTTGCGATTGATGCGACTTCTCATAAAGTACGGGACTTGTCTGCGGTCGCAATTTAACGCTTTGATTGCTACGGACAGCATCAAATCTTGGAAATTGATAATCCCGCAACTGTTTTCACGACTGAACCAACCTGCATCGTATGCAAGGGATGTTATTTGGGAAATCCTTGCAAAGATAACGCGAGAGTCACCAAAAAATGTCATCTACGAAATCATCGTCGGATGCAATTCGCCCAAGACGTCAGCCGAAAGCAAGCAACTCTTGGAACGCATGGCATCCCAACTGTCGGTCAAAGATGCTCAAATGCTGCTTAGCATCAAGAAGATGATAGAAGAGATGGAGAAAATAACGGTGTTATGGGAAGAAAAGTGGATTAACAAGATAGCCATGCTTCAGTTCGACGCAACTGAGAGATTGCAGCGGTTTGAGAAGGAGCTTTCGAGAATGAAATCTACATCTTCCAGCGATGTAGAGCAAGGAAGCAAAGCACTTTCTGATGTTTACGATGCCATTCTACTGCCTGTTGTCGTTTCCATACGAGACTTGATCAAGGAAACGATCGGCAATGGGTCGCATACACCACATGAAGACTGGTTCCAGAATTCCTTTGGAGGACGCATTCGGCAGGCTTTCACGTCCTTGGAAAAGCCAACAAACTGGAAAAATTATCGTCAAGGATGGGATTGCTTTCAAAAGGTAAACATGGTGCATTGTTGTATAATTACAAAAATATCCACTAACTTCGTTTGGTTTGCAGCTTCATCGAGAGTTAATGAAGGAAACAGCGAAATTGCGCATTCTTAAGTTGTCGCAACTCTCTCCCTATTTAGCTCAGATAAAAGGCACCGATATTCCTATACCAGGCATCCAAGATCCCAATGATGAATGTACAATCGATTCATTTGTGGAAGAGATCATTACTCTACCTACTAAAACTCGACCCAAGAAAGTCAACCTCAAAGGTTCCGATAACAAGATATACCCATTCCTTTTCAAAGGGCTGGAGGATTTACATTTGGATGAACGGGTTATGCAGTTGTTGGGCACAGTAAATAATCTTGTAGAGGGCGATATGAACGGGTGTGAAGCAGGTATGAAGGCCCGAGTTTTTGCTGTTATTCCAATCAGTGATCATTCTGGCATGATTCAATGGGTACAAGATGCAAGTCCACTTTTTGCGCTGTACAAGCGATGGCAACAACGCGAAAATGCCGCCATGATCATGACAGCCGCCGAGAAACAGGTGCCTGAAAAACACTCGACTGTCATTACACGCCCTACTGAAATGTTTATGGAAAAGATCAGCAGTGCATTGAAGCGAGAAGGATTACCTGTTACCGCAAGTCGCCGCAAGTGGCCAAAGGAAGTACTGAAAAATGTTTTCTTGGAACTGGAAAGTGAGACGCCGAATGATCTACTCTCCAAGGAAGTATGGTGCAACAGTACAACTGCTCAAGACTGGTGGCGCAGAGCATGCTCTTTAGGCAGATCCATGGCTGTCATGTCTGTCATTGGTTACATTATTGGCCTTGGAGATCGTCACTTGGATAATACCATGGTGGACTTTGGCAGTGGAGAGGTAGTCCATATTGATTTCAATGTTTGCTTCGAAAAAGGAAAGCGATTACGGGTTCCTGAACTGGTGCCATTCCGACTGACTCAAAACATGGTCCATGCTCTTGGTCTGACTGGGCCGGATGGGATCTTCAAGATAGCTGCAGAGCAAGTACTCTCCGTGTTACAAAGACACAAAGAAGTCCTTGTTACACTTCTTGATGCATTTGTCTATGACCCACTGTTTGACTGGAGTACTGAAGTAGAAGAAAATCAAAAGAAGCAGATGATGGATTTGCAAGCTAATTTCGGTCTATTGTCTAACCGCTTAGGTAAAGTAAAAAAAAAAAAAAAAAGTATAGCCATGTTCCAAATCCCAAACCATCACACTGATCTAAAACATTTTGTTTTCTGCAGATGAGGTGAAACAGCAGTTACAGGATGAGGAACGACTCATCATGTATTTACTCGAAACTTTGTGTGTGCAGCTGGAAACAGAAACGGTTACCGAGGTTTGTAGTACTTACACCTCCTCTCATCTTGGTTGTCTTTCCAATCTAATGCCAACAATGCAATTACAGGAATCGACTGCCACCTTGTCGGTACAACAAGACATGGATGATACCAGTAATGAAGTAAACTACTCCGTTGAAGACCTGAAGCAAATTCTTGTCGATGTGATGCCACTGCTGGAGTCTATCGATATCATGCAAGTCGAGGTAGACAATGAACTGAAGATTGGGCAGCAGAACGTGAAGGTAAGACACTGATGGATGACGATGGCGAAAAGTGGGGAAAGCGGCGTATTATGCATCTTTTGTTTACAAAGGAACATTACTTCAATGTTTAGATCATTTTGGCGTCAATCGCAAAGTTGGACGAATCTATACCATCTTTGATATCATCATCGCTCACCGATGAAGCCGACACCAAGAATGTCCAACAAAGCAAGGAAAGAAGAATTGAAGTAAGTGATGTTTTGGCGATGCCAGGTATGATGAAAAGCTGTCACTCATCGCCTTTGACATCTTTCTAGGAATGCATGCTTATTATGACCACCGTTCGTGAGCTCTTCAGTGCTATTAAAGCTCTGGAAGGCTATGGTACAGACGTTAAGGCTGGCCAAACTGATATCATGCAGATAACCAATGCATTGCAGCAGATGAACATTAGCAAGGCAAGCAGCGACGAAGACGCAATGGCGGCAAGTAGAGGCGCATTTGATGAAGGCGGTGCTGATTCACACGCAGTTTTCGCGGGCGATGGAAAGTTCTCCGACTTCGATGTTACCGATGCACTTGATGAGGATACCAATGTAGACGGTTTGGTTATACCCCCCAGTGAAACCACCAAACCTGATCAAGAAAGTAAATCTGTAGATGTAGAAAAGAAGACCGAGCGGCGTAACCATCATGCTGTCGGCATTCTTCGTCGTATCAGAAGCAAGCTGGAAGGTATCGACTTTGGTCACAGGCAGGCTATGAGCGTACCAGAACATGTTTCATTGATGATCTCTGAGGCTACATCCGTCGATAATCTCAGCATGATGTACGAAGGCTGGACCAGCTGGGTATAGGAAGTCGAACATGATAAGAACAAACATGATTATGGAAAACAGCAAACATGTTGATACCACTCCATTCAACCATTATAAAAACTAGTTGTAAGCAGCAGCCTTATTGATTCCCAATATCAACGGATGATCATAATGTATTACATGATAAAAGTGATGAAGTGTGTACAGTGGAAGAAAAGGAAAAAATGATCGGGGAACCTATTTATGTGAATTGATTTTACTTCATGTATTGCGCGCAAATTTCCTTCAAAGCGGCGGCGGAGGATTCGAGCTTCTTTTGCTCTTCGGGAGCCAAAGGAATCTCGAAGATCTCTTCAATACCCTTAGCTCCGATGACAGCTGGCATAGAAAGGACAGCACCGAGCTTTTCGTTGTAGACGGAGAGTGGACGAATGTGACGTTGGTTCATGAGAATACATTCGGTCAAGGATGAAACACATGCAGCGATACCGAAGTATGTTGCTCCCTTCAAATTGATAATTTCGTATGCCTTGCCCGCGACTTCCTTAGCTATCTTTTCACGATCCAACTTTTGAATGGCAGGGATATCGAGTAAGCGCTTTCCTCCAACATGGGCACTGTCCCAAGCAATGAATTGCGAATCACCATGCTCACCAAGGACATAAGCATGGATAGCCAATTCCGAAACATTAAGGATTTGTGAAAGGGTCAAGCGAAGACGGCCACTGTCAAGATATGTTCCAGAGCCGAAGACTTGCTTTTTGGGAAGACCAGAGAGCTTTTGTGCAATGCAAGTCAAAATATCTACAGGGTTGGCGACAACCATAAGAATGGCGTCCTTGTTCAAGGGTTGCATAGAGCCAATGACGCTCTCCAAAATCTTGTAGTTACGAGCAATAAGCTCAGTACGTGGTTCATCAGGCTTTTGCTTGGCACCAGCGGTGATGACAATAACGTCAGCTTGACCGGCCTCCTCAAAGGAAGCACCACGAATGACAGTTGATCCAACGAAAGCAGAGTCACTAAGATCAAGAACTTGTCCATGAACAGTCTCGGGAACAATATCGACCAGAAGAATTTCAGAGGCCACCTTTCTCATTAAGAGGGCATAGGCAATGGTGGCGCCGACAGAGCCAGCACCAATAACAGCGACTTTTGAACTAACACCCATAGTGTATTGTGTATTGGTTAAGGGAAGTTTAAGGGAAAAAGAGGAAGATGAAAGATACCAGTTCACCTGCTGTCTTACGTCGTAATTTATACGTCTTGTTTTTCCATGGGTTGTATTATGCCAGTTAGATAATATTCCGTTTTGGAATGGGGGTCAGACCATCACTCGGGAAAAGCGTCAATTCCCGAAGAAAAAATGGGCGTAAAAAAAAATTTCGTTGGATTCATCACCCCATTTTCTTGGTACCGCTACTGTAGTAACACCTTTGCTTACTATTTTCAGTAGCCGAATCTTAGTAACGTGGAATGCTTACGTTCCAATTCAATTAACCGTACCTAATGGCTACCTCTTTGATATTGTAACTACCATGCAAACATATCGGACTCATCCTGCCAGCATGAACGGAATCCAGGCGGGCATTCAAAACTGCAAGTGACCCTAGTTTTCGAAGCCATGGTCCAAGCGTTCATAAGCGTTATGATTGATTAACGGCAAGGGAATGCCATTATAATCTTCTTGACGAAGTCGTAAGGTTGTCGGGATAGATGCGGTAGATTATACGCGAAACTAGGAATAATACCATGATGAAAAATTCTTCCACCAAAACTGTCTCACCGCGCAGTGCACAATGTTTTTATGCTTTAGCGTAAACGTGCTTCATTAATGGCATGATGAAGTCACTCTCAAACCATATCTGATAGCGTTGAAAGTGGTTATTCTGTACAAAAAAAAAAGTAGCTTATATATCAGTGAAGAATTCCTATGTTTTCCATTTCTTTATGTAGATGCGCACGATGGGCTTTACAAAAGTATATAGCAGAGCACTTCATGGTGCGCGCAATCCCGTATGTATGGAAAAAAAAAAAGAAGGGTGAGACCGTATCTGATGACTGGGTTAGGGTTTCAGGAGTTCGATTATAGAAAAAAGTGCATCGTACCGCTGGATAAGCTAGAGCAAACTGCGCATCAAATAGCATTTGTTCCATGTTTACCTATGCTTTTTGGTCCCTGTAACATAATATTGTAGAACTTTTCTTGTATAACAAACCCAAGAACGTGGAGTAAGAGTATGTCAAATGAGATTCTCCAATGAAGCCTGTCATGGCCAATTTGATTGGCCAGCATTTCACACCGACGCCTAGTGGAGCCAAGCTGTCATGCCCTGCTGCTTAGTGTTTTTTCTCCCTTTCTTTCTCATTTCTTACCTAATGCCAGCCCATGAAACTAGTCATAAAAGTATATTACTGAAGCATCCCAGTGGTGCTGAAGCTGAAGTTCGTCTATTTGGTACGATACTGTTGTCATAATGTTGTTTCTGATTGACTACGCGTCAAAGGACCCTCGTTCTCTTTGCTCAAACGTTTTTCCGAGTAGGCGCTACGGTTACAAGCTGGAAAGTCGATAACACAGAGCGTCTATTTGTCAGGTAACGTGGCTTATACCTTCCATAGGATGGGTAATGATATCATCATCATCAGTATACATGGTCCCTGATTATCACCATCCTACAGCAAAGATGCCATTTTAGACGGCAGTAAGGCTATTCGCGGCGGTATTCCCGTCGTATTCCCCATTTTTGGTACCGATGAAAAAATCAAGCTGCCCCAGCATGGTAGGTGGTGGCATGAGTGGAATTTAGATATGATTCAGGAACAAAGGAACTAAATAGTCGATGGTAATAGGTTTTGCTCGTAATTCTGACTGGGAATACGTCGGTCTTCTGACTGACAACGATGAAGTCTCCGTCCGATTTTGTAAGTTACGTCTTGCGAAATTTACTGCCACCAAACAACTGACTGACCATGGTGTAACGAATGACTTTTAGCCCTTAAGGACAATCAATTGAAGCAATCTCAGCGATCAGCCTGGCCCCACTCTTTCCGTCTTAACTACACTGTTGCTCTCACCGAAAAGACTCTGAGAACTACCTTGGTTGTCAAGAACGAAGATGAGGATACTTTTGAATTCAAAACGTTGTTGCATACATATTTCCAAATCTCGGTAAGCTTTCAACGTCACTGGATGGGCAAAAGTTTTTCCTCTTTTTGACCCGCCGACCCTTGCATTTCCAGGATATCAGCAAAGTTGCTGTGAGTGGACTCTCCAACTTGACATACATTGACAAGGTCCAGAATGCAGCCAAGGTGGTCGAAGAAAATCAAAAAGTGACTATTGCTGGAGAGGTCGACCGAGTGTATGCCAATGTTCCTGAAGAAGTGACTATCGAAGAAGATGGTCAAGCCAAGTATCGTATTGTGAAGACTGGTATGAAGGATACCGGTAAGTGAAAGACAAAGGAAGCACAGTACCGTACCCGATGGCTGATACTCACTTCCAACACAGTTGTCTGGAATCCTTGGATTGACAAGGCCAAGGGCATGGGTGACTTTGGTGATGAAGAGTACCATAACATGGTGTGCGTTGAAGTTGGCTCTGTCGCTGACTGGGTCAAATTGGGAGGTGGACAGACTTGGACTGGTGGCCAAGTGATTACCGCATTGTAATAGCGAACTCCTTATATTAAAGCGTTTGAATGATCGGCCTCAAAGGGCAATTTTCATGTTATTTGGGTAGATGTGGTGGTACACTGTCATTGGCTGAATCTGCATGAATTTCACTGGCAGGTAGAATAAAGGATGGCACGTGCAGCAACCCGTCTTCGCTTTTTTTTGACTCTCTCATAACAACCATGTCAGAGCTAAAGGAGCAACTCCAAAGGTTCTCGTCCAAGGCAGAGGATATAGTCGATGCCATCGGTCAGCCTCTCAAACCCTACATTCCTGCAATGTCTCGATTCTTGATCGTTGCCACGTTCTTGGAAGACTCTCTCAGAATTATCACTCAATGGAGCGACCAAGTCTTTTACATGGAAAAACATAGGGGCTTCTTCTGGGGTCTTAGCCATATATTTTTGGCATTGAATGTCATTGTAAGTTACTTTTTCATTATGACGAATGCTATAGAAAATGGCAAAAGGCGCGTTCAGGCTACCGTTATGCCCTATTGCGGTCCTGCTGCCCTGATACCCACCTTCATAGCCATTCATGCTCTCAACTAACCCCCATGCCTCATTCTAGCTGATGTTGAGCTGCTCTTCCTTGGTTATCGCTAAGAAGCATCAGGAATATGCTGTGTACGGTCTTTTCGCCGTAGTGATTCTGCAGGCCTTCGGATATGGACTGGTGTTCAATATGTCATTCTTCCTCCGCAACCTCTCTGTGATAGGCGGTCTTCTCATGGTGTTGTCCGACTCATTTAACAAACGAAAGCAAATGTTTGCTGCCCTCCCACAAATGTCAGAGACAGATCGTCGTGAATACTTCCAACTGGCTGGTCGCATTCTCCTTATCTTTTTGTTCATTGGGTCCGCTTTCCATGGTGAATGGTCTTTCGGACGTGTCCTAGTATCCCTTATCGGATTGGCCGCCGCTATCATGGTCATTGTTGGTTTCAAGGCAAAGTGGTCCGCCATCTTCCTCATTCTGTTCCTTTCTGTGTTCAACGTTTTGATCAACAACTTCTGGGCAACCCAACATAATCACTTCCAACGTGATTTCTTGAAGTACGATTTCTTCCAAACACTATCAACGGTGGGAGGCTTCTTGCTACTTGTGAACATTGGCCCAGGTGGTCTTTCCCTAGACGAGAAGAAGAAAGCGTTTTAATGTCATTGACGAGCCCATTTGACTCGATGAACAACAGTCTCCTAAACAAAACAAAAAAAACTTCCATCCTTCTCCTGTCAGAGCATTGTGTTGGTTTAATAGTGTCAGGTTTCTTTCGTTCCTGTATTTCACATAGCATTCTCTCTCTCCTATCATTGTGTTGCCACACGTGAATCATCATTTTTCTATCTTTTGTTCATGGTTGGTTGGATCTGTATTTGCAAGTCGCTGTCACCATTGTTTCGAACTTCTCTCCTGGTCTGCAAGAGTATACAAATAAATAACAAAAATTGACAAAAGAAAATTGTAAAGACTTCCTATTTTTTTGAGCAGCATCCTATTCTAAACGTCAAAATTGCTTTAGCTTTGTACTTGGCTTCAGCAAAGAAATTTTCTGAAATTTGTCGCGATTTTTGACAGAGACACTCCGACTTTGAACCATCCCGGATCCCTAGAAGGCACAAACAAGAATGTCTAAGGCAATCAAAGCCATTGATGAACGCAGTGTCCATAGAATCTGCTCTGGCCAAGTTGTTTTGGATCTTGCTACAGCTGTGAAAGAGTTGGTCGAAAACAGCTTGGATGCTGGTGCAACTGCTATCGGTAACAACTTCATTGCTTCATTTTGTCCCCCTTGCCTCGCTTAATCGTTTCTCATACCTATATTTTTTCTTGGCATATCAAGATATTCGATTTAAGGACCATGGAATGGAAAGCTTAGAAGTCATTGACAATGGTTCTGGCCTGGACACTTCTGACTATGAAACATTAGGTAAGGGCATCCAGCTAGCCGGGTCGAGGTGAATCCCGGTACTGACAACGTGAACGCCCACTTCTTAAGCTTTAAAACACTATACATCCAAAATATCCAAGTTTGAGGATCTAGTAGATGTGGCAACGTTCGGGTTCAGAGGAGAAGCGCTTAGTTCCCTTTGTGCATTGGCAAATTTAACAGTTATCACAGCAACTGCGGCGCAAGCTCCTGCAGGATATCGCCTAGAATACGATTCAAACGGCAAACTTGCATCAAAAACCTCAGCTGCGCGTTCAGTAAGTAAATTTTAAAATTTTCAATGTTGAGAATGCCAGTTGGACGGCTGATAATGTCACACTTCTTAGTCTGGTATGACTATTCAGCTTAGCAACTTGTTTTATTCCCTCCCTGTTCGCCATCGAGAATTTAAGAAGAACATCAAGCGCGAGTTTGCAAAAGCGCTAAACATCATACAATCGTATGCGATAATTTCGCCCAATGTTAGGATTGTCGCTTCAAATCAAATAGGGAAGGGGTAAAGTGGACGCACGCTTGGGACAGGCATCTCGAATGGAAAAATCATATTTACATATCCCGTCTTCCATAACAGGGCCAGTAACAAAGTTATAACATGCAATGCCAACAAAACCATTCGAGAAAATATTGCCAACATCTTCGGTGCAAAAGTCGTTGGCCAAATTATACCAGTCAACTTGTCACTTTCTCAGGCAGACGACACACCGACAGTCGAGGAGGATAACGATACCAGCAGGTAAATGCCTCGCAATATGTTTCAATACCACAGCATGTACTTGTACTAAACAATGCCAACCTTTCAAGCGGAGAAGGTGTAAAGGTGATAGGGTTCATATCCAAGCCAACGTGGGGCAATGGACGAAGCAGTTCTGATCGCCAATACTTGTATATAAATGGGAGACCTTGCAATTTGCCCAAAATCAGCCGAGCACTCAATGAAATATTTCGATCCTTCATCAGCAACCAATACCCCTTTGCTATATTGGATTTCCGGATACCCAATGGCGAATTCGACGTTAATGTTAGTCCCGATAAACGCACAATTTTCATACATAATGAGAAATGGCTGTCTCAGTGCTTTTCGGTTAGTTAGAACATTTCATCCTTTCCGACTTGAATCACGCGGTTACTCATGTAAGCACGAATTCTTTAGGAGCAACTTGGACAGATGCTGGAACCTTCACGCTACACGTTATCAACAAATGAACCCATGGTTGAAACGTCTATTGTGACCGAATCGATGATACCTAAAGATAACGACGTTGACATGAACGACGATAGTGATAGTTTCAGTGACGATCACAGGAAGGAATCCTTTGTCGATGAGGTGATTGAGATCGCTATCCCGCCTAGACAATCAGCGAGACGAGCAGGCTTCAAATTAAGTGACATGGCCCACAGTTCTGGATCGATGTTTCGACCGTCAAGAACAAGTCCTGATGTCACTAGTACGAAACGTCAGTTATCACAAACAACATTAGATAATGTTACTGTCAAGCGAGCTAGAGCGATGACCTTGGAGGATGAATTGTCAGAGGAAGATGATATACTGGATAAAGATCGCGAAAATGATAAGAATGACCATGAGAATTTCTATGAGCCCTCTAATACGCAAGAAGCTTTTGATGAAAGAACGGTGTACAGAACAAACGGCGATATTTGGGATACTATAGAAGATGAAGGAGTGCCTTCGGTCTCGACCGAATCGGAAACAGCATCCAAACATTCTGTGTCAGAAAATCGTCATGCAGACGACGAACACGGCCATTCGATATGGACATCACGGATACCAATAGAGAATGTTGTCCTAGAGACGAGCACAGAGACAGAAGGACAGGACCACGAGATTGAGGACATTCGGGATATCACTACAAGCGCTCCAACGGTTCGCTACGAGCAGATAGTAACTGATGTAGATGTCATCGTTTCTACCGACAGATCGTATCTCGATACTTGTCATCTGTCCATATCTGTAGATCTTGATGCACCAGGCTTACTCAAACGATACAGGCAAAGGACTAGACAGCGACATCATGGAAAGAAGATAAACCGAACGGCAACACCCCTTATGAATGCCAACATTGCAAACACTACAGATAATGGGCAAGCAACCAAAGTTTTGGATCGCGTTATCCAAAAATCCGATTTCGAGAAAATGCAAGTCATTGGACAATTCAACCTTGGATTTATCATTGCAGCATTGAACGAGGCAGATCTCTTCATCATTGACCAACATGCTTCAGACGAGAAATTCAACTTTGAGACCTTGCAGCAGACGACACAGATAAAGGGTCAGAAATTAATACAGTGAGTAAGAAAGTTGAATTAAAACAGTTGCTGCTTGATATGACACTGACTTCTGTTGTAGTCCACGAACGATCGAATTGACCGCAAGTGAAGAGATGGTGGCGATGGATAACTTGGATATTTTGAAGTCGAATGGTTTTGACATTCGGATAGATGAGGATGCGCCTCCAACTCAAAAAATCAAAATTATCTCTCAGCCAGTTAGTAAGAACACCATGTTCAACACAAAAGGTTGGATACGAATGGAATTTTTTTAAAACTTCAAAATGGCTGCTGACAAGATTTATTGCCAGACTTCGAAGAGCTTGTATTTTTATTGTCCGATCGTCCTGGCGAGATGGTACGTTGTAGCAAGACAAGAGCTATGTTTGCTTCTCGGGCGTGCCGAAAATCGGTCATGATAGGCGATAGTTTGGGAAAAGGCCAAATGATCAAGGTAAAACCGAAAAATTACGTGACCTTTCGGGCGGGGAAGAACACATTAGCTCATTCGAAATTTTGCATAATAGATAATCCGAAATATGAGTACAATTGATCAGCCATGGGTAAGTTGGTATGCTCTGCTTTAAAAGAATAACACATTTATCTCACACTACTCTTAGAACTGTCCTCATGGAAGACCCACTATGCGTCATTTGTTTAATATGCCACCGTCTACCAGTAGCAGGTCACGAGGGATGGCGGTGAAATTTCCATCCAGTTACCTTTTGGCCTGAGAAGATCACTCGTTCACAGGCGATTTAATTTTTTCTTACCTTTCTTCCTCACTTTTCTTCTTTCCTCACTGAAATAAGATCTTGTTCATATACCAATCCTGATAAAACATGTCTTCACCTAGACGACGAATTGAAACTGATGTTATGAAATTGTGAGTAAAATGTTCCCTGTTCCCTGACGAATTTCGACTGGCACCCAAAGGGCAGACCAATCATGTCAGCCCTTTCTCACGATTAGACTCCTTCCTTCAACATAACCTCAATCGTAATCTGGTGACTAATCATCCTACTTTATAACTATCGTCCCCCATAGGCTGATGAGCGATTACGAGGTTACGCTTGTTAACGACAACATGCAAGAGTTCTATGTGCGATTCCATGGACCAAGTGACAGTAAGTTAGCCTGAGGGCTGAACCTTGGTGTCTAGCTTATGGATGGAGTTGGACCCTTGGGGGCGGTGCTCAACATAGCCAACCGTATGATCATCTCTAACCCTCATATATCACTTTCTGTAGCTCCATTTAATGGCGGTGTTTGGAAAGTACATGTCGAGCTTCCTGACCAGTATCCCTACAAATCTCCTAGTATTGGCTTCATGAACAAAATCTTCCACCCTAATATCGATGAACTGTAAGTCTCGTGGTCAGCCGGTTCCTCACCCTACTTTTGTTTGATGCCTTTGTTCTAATTTTTTCCGAATGATTAGCAGCGGGTCGGTTTGCCTGGACGTTATTAATCAAACCTGGAGCCCAATGTTTGGTAATTGTCATTTTGGCGATCCATCCTAATCTCTTTTTCTGGGGTACTTAAACTTTCTGTATTTTTTAGATATGATCAACATCTTTGAGTCTTTCTTGCCTCAATTGCTTCGATATCCAAATCCAACCGATCCCTTAAATGGAGAAGCTGCCGCCTTGATGATGCGAGAACCAACTACCTACGAATCAAAAGTTAAAGAATATGTCTCGAGATATGCAACCCGTGAAGCTGCTGACGCAGCAACTGATGAGAGTTCGGAAGAAGAGGAAATGAGCGACGTTTCTTACTCTGACAGTGATGATGAAGCCCCAGGGATGGAATTGTAGAAAGAAAGAAAAAAAAAAAAGTTACAGACAAAAAATATCATTCCACTTTGCTATTTCCCCCACCTCCTAGTCCAACCTTTTTGACCAGTAAACCCCAGAGAATTTTGTCGTTCTACTGTTCCCTTTCGTTTCAACTTTTCTTTTTCCTTGTAGCATTCTTTCTTTTTCCTCAAGCGCCTGTCCAATTTTTCTTTCTACTGATGCGCAAACCCTTCCCTTCTGAATCTTTCTTCCCCATAGCTGATTGTAAGAACCTTTCCTTGTTTATTATTCTTCTATTGTTATTTGTCTCAAACAAATTTTTCAATGGTTTCAACTCCACTATATTTAATTCGGGTTGGTAATATGATTTGATGTCTCTCTGTTTTCCGGTCGAGAAACCGTTTCTTCATACGTGGGAGGCGCTGGTTCCAACACTGAGCTAGCATGTTCATAGCAAGAAGGCGGAGAAGGTGGCGTTGTGGCCTCGTCGATATCATTAGTCGCTCCTGAATTATATGCAGCCGTTGGCGGTTGATAGAAGGCTCGCTGACCGTCGAATGTCTGTGGTGGTATGGGTGGAGTGGGGTAGTTGACTGGGCACAGATCGTATGGGTCTTGCAAGTCATTATTCGTAGGGTCTGGAAGTATGGCATGCTTTTCATATCAGAAAGGGTATCAAATGTATCTGGCAGTAACTGAAAAAATTGCTTACGAGACGCTTCAGCTTGGAGTGCTCTTCGCTTCCGAATTAAGAAAACGCAGATAAAAACCAGGAAGAAGAGAAGCAAGAACCCAAAGAACCTAGAACATCCATCATGAATAATGTGAAAAGTTTGGTCATTACGGTTGTATCGACCTACGCAAAGTATGTAGAGTAGTATAGCATTGCAACAACGTCCTACAAAACTTGTTGATAGTTCAAAGAAGTTTTGAAACAACGTTGAGGAATGAAAAGAGCAAAAATCATGGGTCACAGAGAGTAGGTAGGGCCTTTGTTTGAAGTCACGTTCTCCAAGTTTCATATTTGAGATACCCACAACAACCAAAAATCCCAAGTTCTCAGTTTAATTTCCCCACCATGGACAGTTTTTATGTTTTAGACGGAGAAATATTGGCTGATGTTCTCCAGTGTTTCCCACCATCAAGTGAAAATGCCACTATGGATCAAAATAATTAAGACCAAGTGCAAGACAGACTTTGTTGCTTAGCTGCTGGTAGTCTTTAATCAAATGTATTCTACGGCAATCAAGCGCAATGATATTATTTTGTGCAATACACCTTGCGCTAATTCATTGTTTTAGCTGTGCGCGCAGAGGACTTGCAAAATACGAGACGGGAGATAGTCGGAGATTTAAATTGGGACAGGCGAATCCTCATAGTGGGAGAACCAGTGTTCAGGGTTTCGATTGTACGGCAACATCATGGGATCATCAGCCTCAAAGAATAAAATCACTGATCAGGACAAGGCTATTCTTGACCTTAAAGTCCAGAGGGACAAACTCAAGCAGTATCATAAAAAGGTTTTTTTCCCACTAGCATCTCCTAATACTCTATCTGTAGTCTCACTGACCCTTGAATTAACTTGCAGCTACAAATCGTTGCCGATAAAGAAGTCGAGATAGCGAAGCAAAGTTTAGCACAAGGAAACAAAAAGAAGGCCCTTGTATCGCTTAAAAAGAAGAAATATCAAGAGCAACTGCTTGAGAAAACCGATGCTCAGCTTATGAACCTGGAAGAACTGGTTAGTTGTTTTGCCCCATTTGAAGGTCCGAGTTTCCCGAAGAAAAGCCTGTGCTCAGATTATTACAGACCAATTCTATAGAATTCGCACTGGTTGAAAAGCAAGTCTTGGATGGTCTGCAAAAAGGAAATGAAGTATTGAAGGAAATTCACAAAGAAATGTCAGTTGAAGCTGTGCAAAAGCTTATGGATGACACAGCAGATGCAATCGAGTATCAAAATGTAAGTCATCACTTCTGTGATATATCGCCCTGACTTGGGATTCGTTGGTAACAAAATGTACCTTGTCAATAGGAAATCGATGAGATCCTGAGCGGAAACCTCACAGCCGAGGATGAGGAAGATGTGCTTCGTGAACTGGATGAATTGCAGCAACAAGAGGTAAGTGTGGAGATAGATCTCGGATGAGTGTGCCGATATCTGGTTGAAAAAAGTTCCTGTCTAATTCATGCATTTCGTAGCTGGAAGCACAAATGCCCGCTGTCCCCGATACGGTTCCTGCAGGCATGGAACATAAGGAAGAAGAGCTACCCGCCGTACCGAATCATGATCCATTAGGTATGTACATTTATGTTTTTGTTTTGTCACTGTCATGCCAGTCGGATCAGCGGCTTATCTGCATTTGTATTTTTCCTTTATTGTCCTGTCCAACCTAGAATCACGCCCGACAAAGGTAGAACGGCAAGCCGAGAGCAAACAAGCTGAAGGCATGCTGCTTGCGTGACAGTGATACGAACATATTGTTTTCCACACCACTACCTCTTTAAGGTGTATTTTATAAGTGCAACTAACGTGTCGTAGCTTCAGACTTTTGGCACACATCGTTGTTGTATGTGTTGGGTAGTATTTACTATTCGATGTACACTCCTAAATTCCCTCGCCATCAGCATCTCTGCTATAATACATGTATTTATCAACAAGTAAGGGCTGTCTGCCATCAAATTAGTCTAATGTTAAAAAAGAGAAAAACATAAAAAAAAAAAGGTAACTAGTGAGATGATGACAATATGCATGTGCGCGGGCGGGTGTGTAAGTTGCTTTTTCGTTTTCAGTTTTCTTCTCGATCTAAATCTCGTGTTCGGCTAATAGCATATTGGGAATGCCATCTTTGATGGGATATACATGGCTGCAGTTAGGACAAACCATCTTGCCTTGCTGAACGTGAGTCTATAGTATGATGATACGTAAGTAAATTGAACGACCATACCAGATGGCAACGTCATTTAAAAATGTATTTACCTCCAAAAGAGCTGTGTGGAGAACCTTCAAAAACTCTTCATTGTCCTTTGCATTATCTGGTATAGTGGCAGGCAAATTGGTATTGCCCAACTATTTCAAATTGATGAGTATCTTTTGTTCATCGCTTCGCTCAATATAGAGATCAGTTATCCTTACCTGCACGGCAGTATTTACAAACGCCGGCCATTCCAACTTGCCGATAATATTTTGGAGGAATTCGGGCTGAAAATCAGCTTCAACCAGTTCAACTTCGACTTCCTCCAGACGCAAAGGAAAGTTGTTGTCATTGCAGTTCTTAACGTGGCATTGGAGCATGTTGTGGGTTATGAGACGCATGATGGACAAAGCTGGTAATTTCTCAAGCTGAATGTCGAGACTTTTTTTTTTTTAGTATATCCTTCAAATGCAGTGGAAAAAAAAGACTGCTTATTTGTCGTGGCTTAGATATGGGGACCAATTTCATATCCGCAATTTTGACAGCGGGAAATGATCGTGTTCAGTCACCGAAAAAAGACAGTTCCATCTTGTTTATATCGATGGCCAGTATCGCAGCTATTTAGTGTGATAATGAACTCTATCTGATTTATACAAACTCCACTACAGAGCATACTGCAAGTTTATTTTTACAAAACGTCGGATGCACCCACGGTCCTCGCTGTTCTGGAATAGAAATAAACGACCCATGACCCTACGATCTACAATTTAATCGCTTCTACTATTTGAGGATTGCTTGGATTGACCAAAGGAAACGATGATCATGAAGAAGTCGATGGCGAAAAGGAAGGATGCGGGGATAGAGGTGAGAAAATGGTGGATTAGCCTCTTTTCTTGCCACCGATTCAACATGCCTCGCCCTTCTAGTTTATTTTCGCAAGGCAAAAAAAAAAAAAAAATCACGGAGGCAATGTCCAAACAAATAAAACACCTCATTCCAGCCAGCCAGTATGTAGCCCACAATCGCCCTTTCTGTCTCCTCTCTCTCCCCTTCCATTTACAAACCAATCGGATTATCATCGCCGTTGCCCTTCGTTGTCTTCATGTTACCTTTGGCTAGGCAGGTCCGAGCACATCGCTCGCAGACAGATCGGCTGCCAAAAGGATTTTCCGTTGTGATGTTCATCCAGAATAGTTTTATCTGACCCAATATTTGTCACTTATCGACGCTTTGCCAGTCTTGTCGTCCTCCGAATATGTCTAATCCGAGGCAAGAGGCAAAAGACTATTTGGGAAAGACCTTGTTGAGATTTGTGTGCCACACATGGCGAAGGTTTTATTGGCTAGATTTCACCTTACCACGCGGTAAGACCACCTCGCTCTACACGCGTTACCCTTTCCCTTTCCTTTGACTGTATACGCCACTAGTAGCTTAGAGACCCCATGATATTGGCATTGGCAGGCGGAATGAACAAGTTGATTATAGGACGGTGGTTTTAACTACTTCTTGTGGGGTAGAAAGCGACAAAGCCAAGGAAAAACCCCCCATGTTATTCCATATCTCCCTCCAGTACGCCTTACTTGTTCTACTCAAGGAGATAGGCTCCTTGGAGTGGTAAGGAGAGATTTTGGGGGAGACTGTGTGTGGCTCATTAAGAAAGCGTGTTACAAGGAGAAGTGTGTGTATTTGGGGGGGAGGGTAGAGACAGAAAGCGATAGTGACAGAGAAAAAAAGTGCTTCGGTGTCAACGGGTGTCCTTTCCGTCTTCATCTGCAAACAGGTTTTCTAAATGGGCTGTCTGGGATCTCTGAATTTTCACATAAAAGCAGACCTTGAGGTCTTTCTCTTCAATTTCATTTCTATTGTCAAGTTTTTCTTCCCCTTTTATTTCATATATATATTCTATATAACTACCCCCAAGTCTTAAACATTTTGAAAATGGATATGACTAACGCAAGACAACGAGATGCTTGGGTGATGCAAAAGCCTTATGCACGTACTTTGGACCATCTATCAAGCCGTCACGATATCGGATCTCCTCCATATAGTCGAGGAACCAGCAGTAGCGGTAGCAGCATTGATGGCTCCCTCCCTTCCCCGGTTCTCGACGAATTGGAACTGCCATCGTCGAACCAGCCTCATTATGCTTTCATGAGCAAACATCAGCCCCCTTACTTTGAAGTCCCTATGTCTGCAGATGGCCCTACTTGGCGTACGGCTAGTTATGCACCGAACGAAATGGCGTATGACGTGTATTCTATGCCGTCCGAGTACACTACACCACAACAGCATTACGAAGCAAATCAATTCCGTTGGGCTGATTACCCTCGATACCCTCGATACCAACCATACTGCTCTACCAATGTCTATCATCATCCCATGCAACTCCCCATGCCATCACCCACTCATTCCATTACAAGCGCATCCTCTGCCGATTCTTACAAAAAGCCAAGCAAAACATCTATGCCAGGAGCTGACTTCATGACAAGTTTCAGTGCAAAGATTGAAAAGCCTGCTATGGGAACTCCCAAGAGATACAAGTGTGAATTGTGTGCTAAGCGATTCACGCGACCAAGCTCCCTGGCTACTCATAAGCGAAGCCACACTGGCGAGGTAAGCTCTCCTATTCTTTTGCACCCATAAAAAGCAAAACACTAACTCTGTCATCTTTTAGAAACCATTCACTTGTAATTTCAAGGGATGTGGTCGTAGCTTTTCTGTGGTCAGCAACTTGAAACGCCATAACAAGACTCATATGTGAAGTCATCTTTATTTGAGTTTAGATCTTTTCTTCATACGCGCCGCCCCTCTCATTTCATTCTTAAATCGTTGTTCACTTGTACTTACTTCTTGTGTGTTATCTCCTTCGAAAAACTTGTCATTCAAAATTCCTGTACACAGTTTTGCCTCATTGTCATATTTCTTTCTCCTTACTTGTTTTACTTTGTTGGTTATTTTTTATTACCATCATCTCTGATATGCTGAAGATTCTAATTTGCTTGCGAGTAGAATCCCAATCTATCTGAGCATGGTAGTGCATCACACCCTTTTTTTTGACATATAAATGGCATGTTCCATTAATTTCGTGCGAGTGAGGG